CCGATTTCGACCACTTTCTAACGCGAACGAATAAAATGGACTAAGTAAGTCCATTTTCCTCCATTATGGACTTTCGTGGATATGAGTCCCGTGCTAACCATAAAAGTTGTTTCTCACCGTACCTAGTGATAGCAGTCACAACTCATTTTTAGTCTAAAATGGGGAAAATGGTCCTAAGACCGATTATATATGAATTCGAGAGACAATTGTTAACTTTACGTGCTTTCTTCTGAAGTGATCAACAATCGCTTTTTCTTTGCAGCAAATATGAACAGTCTTTCGTTTTTTGTTTCACACCCTTATACTTCCAATGAAATAAAGATTAGAACAAGAGAATGTTAAAGAACGTTCGCGGTCACGGCAGAGGTTTTGTGCACTGCCGATTTTATTCGCCATCAAAAAACATTTTATACCCTTTTTTGTCTCGAACAGGGCAGCAAATAACTTGCAAATGGTCTCCCTCGAAAGACACTTTCAATACTCATTTCGTGAGTATGTGGGACATTTCCAAAACTCGTTCTTGATAGAATATATGGATTTGAAACTGAAAATATAATGAAAAAAGCAACAGACAAATGAGAGAGATCAAAGAAGAGGTAGGAGGTAGTAGTTTAGTAGTATACAGGTACAGATTTCCCACACAGTACCCACCCGAAATAGACATTTTTTAAGAGCGTCTTTGAGTGGAAGACAAAAATTCGGCAGCCAAAAAGGCCTCGATCTTGAGGATGCAAGTGTCCCCAAGGGACAAGAAAGCGAGTATTTGAGTGAACAAGGCATGAGATCCCGCAATGTTCCATTTGAAGCCCAGCCGCCAACAGCTGTACTCCCTCGGGAGCGTTTATGGTGTACGAGATCAAGAAATATGTTTTCTGAAAGGCTTGTCCAATTCTAGGCTCTGAAAAAAAAGGAAATCTTTAAACATTTATTTCCTTGGCTATGGAAAACTCCTAAAGTCTTCAGATTAAACGGTCGAACTGAACCTTAAAGAGAAAATCTTTTGGAAACTGATTTGAATAGTGGACAAGGTAAGACTCAGCTCCTTAGCAGTTGAAAAGAAATTTTTCCAAGAATATCAGTTAAATTTCGAAGTACAACACCGCGATGATAGAACATTCGGCTAGAAATTTTTGCTTAGACTTCGAATTTTAGACTTAACGATAATAATATTCCATCCTTTTGTGAAAGATTGTTTCTGCGATCGTTTTGAGATTTACTACACAATTCAGATTGGAGATTACCAAAAATCTTCAAATGTGATGCTCAACCAGCCGAGGCAGCTGTAGCACATATAAAATTCAATATCCCACGCTCGTCAGTATACCAGATGGGTCAAAAATCGGCGCCGAGTAACATTTATTGCCCATATGAGGACGCTGCAATGTGAACATCAAGATTTTGCCTGCGTAATACTAGGCTAGATATACAACAAGAGCAGTGAACACTCAAAGCCGCCCGCCCCCCCCCCCCTCCCTCCCCCCTCTCTATCAGCAACGGAATGGAGCGCGAGATTTTCGCAGTGATTTACATAGGCAAGATTGTGCAAAAAAGAACCCGTTTGCCAGGGTGGAGGACTATATGTCGCCGAATGAGGAAGAGTCCCGCGCGGATTTCCTGCAGGAACGCGTGTCTGCGCATATACAAGAGTGCGCATTTGTTGCAAATGACCGCGGGGACCGCCCTTTTTCGGCGACATATAGTCCTCTACCCAGTTTGCGGGTGGAGGACTATATGTCGCCGAATGAGGAAGAGTCCCGCGCGGATTTCCTGCAGGAACGCGTGTCTGCGCATATACAAGAGTGCGCATTTGTTGCAAATGACCGCGGGGACCGCCCTTTTTCGGCGACATATAGTCCTCTACCCAGTTTGCCACATTTATCATCGATTCATTGACCGCACGGACTGCTCAAACGCTGCGGACCATGCGCGGCGCGGCTGAAATGTGGTGGGAGCACGATTTGTACGGTGGCGAATTTGTATAGGGGCGAGCGTTTCACCTCGCGGCGCGGCGCTCCGCAGTGATGTCCAGTTCGTGCGGTTAGCGAATCGACTATGCAACAATTTCCGTGGTTCAAAAATCGGGCAGATGTGATGACAACAAATGCGCAAAAGTGAAGCAAACAGTTTATTAGCAGGATTTTCTGCCACTTTTTCCCATTTTATAAACTGCCAGATAATTGAAAAGTTCAACGATACGTTCCTCACCTGCTTCTGAACATTCAGCATTTCCTGTCGTTACAAATGCATCATTCCAAACTGGTTTGAATGGCGAATGATATTCAGGGTCAAAGCAATACAAGAGGGAATACGGGAAGTGTTCCATCCCAAATCGGAGTGCGCCAGTTTTTTTTTTCACCACGGGAATGGCCAGAAATCGAAGTGACCAATCCAATTATGCAATACCGTGTGATGCAGCATTTAAAGTTGATTTCGAATCTGTATTCCCTATCTGCTTATCGCATTTGTGGATGAGGTTAGGAGTAGTTTTATTGCGAAAAAATCGCACATGAATTGCGAAATTGAGCACATTGTTGCAGTTTCAGCTCACCTCCAGGCTTTAGGAATATGAACTAACTGCATATTTTGGCCCAACATTGAGCCGAACATAGCTCTGTATTGCCAATTTGCGCTTTGCATGCACGATTTCGCAAAATTACGGCTTTGACGTCTCATAACTTCGCCCACATAGGCGTCAGGCAGGTATGGAATACCGACTCGAAGTCAGCATTTTATGCTGCATCTAATGGTATGCAGCTTGTTTGGATTGGCCACTTCGAATTCTGACCATTCCCTTGTGAAGTAGAGATGCGGGTGAAGCATCATGACTTATAATAACGGGCTAAGGGTTGTTTACGTCTTTTTGTGTGTCTGTGTGTCTGTCCGTTACGAAATTCGTAGAACATGTTCCAGCCAACCTCCTGAGCCCAAATTTTGCATGGCGCATGCTAGCAGCATGAAAGTCCAATATACAAAAGCGCGAGCAAATCCGTCGAGTGGATCCGTTAAAAATTGCGCGCCAAACGGGTCCACCTGGCTTCTGTACCGCAAAATTCGGTCCGTATCACCACTTTTTGCAGAGTCGTGGATGAGTTTGGTAAGCAAATGTGCAAGCGATGGAATTTAGCCAGAAAAGTGGTCGAAAGTTTACTACATAACGAAAACGGCGCCAAAATGAATTGGTTGTGTAAATGGTCAACTTGCCAAGGTTCTAGCCAAGCGTTTGAGAAGATTTTCGCACAGAGATGTAGCTCACGGTTATCATTACCTTTATGGCGACTACCAAGCCATGACAAATCCAAAAACCTATTCAAATTTGCGTTTGTCTTCCTGCGAAAAGTTTCATCCACTCGAAATCACCGATCTCACGTGAAAAGACTTTCTAAATGAGTGGTTGTTTACATTTTATTCGTGGTAGTCGGCATAGCGCGGTGAGTTCCAGTGCCACGGTTTTACGAGAATGAGTAAGGCACATAGATAGTAGAGCCAGTGCGAACCTCTGCGAAGCAGAGGTGACGCACTGGTAGTTCCTATAACATGCGAAGTATTCAATTCTACATATGGTACAACCCCCAGATGTTCCCATATAAACCATCAATGTCGCTATTCTTTCGATCATTTTGACATGTCAACTTCGAATAAGCACCTTAAAGGCAGCGTACACCCAAAACAAATGCAACAGATGTTGCAACAGCAACTGCAACTGCAATTGCAGCTTACGCTGTTATGGATTCGTCCGGAGGAGGCGGAGTGAAAGAAAAGGGGCGGCGTGAAAGAAAATTGAGGGGGGTTTTCTCCGCTCAGAAGCAACATTGGGAGACCGGATCAACGCAGTTGGTCTTCTTCTGGGCCCAGTATATACATGGTGTAGAAAAATCTAGAAAATTAGGCAGCTTAGATTTTGGGTGTACGCTGCCTTTAAAGGCATTGCCCACGTCAACTGAGGGGGGGGGGGGGTTGCGATATTTCCGATCAAAAAAGGTGGAATCTGAAGCGAGAAAACTGCTTCGGAAAAAAGGGGCGGTACTCCACTCCCGCCTCCTTGACAAGTTTTGACGTGGCGAATGCTCTAGATCTACTGAATTCTCCACGTCAAGATTTGTCAAAGGGGTGGGATTGGAGTACCGCCCCTTTTTTTCCGAAACAATTTTCTCTCTTCAAATTCCACTTTTTCAATCGGACTTGAACTGTTGCGTTAGTCAGGAGCCGTGCTCTCACAATGTGTCAAGATCGCAACACCCCCAGTTGCCGTGGACAATGCCTTTAACTGCCTGTAATTTGCTGGATTTAACGTGTTAAAACGATCGAGAGGCAGCCACGTGATAATTCATATGAGAACAATTCTGGAGGATGCACGGTAAGCAATTGATGTGCCACCTCTTACGTAGTAGACTACTACGCATAGTTCTGTAGTTAACTTATACGAGTCTACTAATACAAATCGGTAATGACAGCTTCACACAAATCATGTACGATACCGATCGAGTCTTTAAAGAACAAAATTTTCGGGGTTTGCCGAAACTCGCGTCGTATCACCATATCTCGGTTTCACTGAACGAATCCTGAATCCAAACTTCAGTTGAAGCAAGCCGCATTGACACATGTCTGTCCGGGTGCGGTAGGTACATGGTAGGTAGACAGTTTAAAATTTTGCTTACGGTAGGTTACTCAGTGTGCTGCATTGGATATGCTTGTCTACATGCTCACATCTCCTCACATGACTTCCGCGGGATATTGTTGAAAATTGGGGATCCCAGGGCAGAACATTCTTATTGTGTGCCACTGTGAAAACACTTCACAGCTGTCCAGAACGCCGTCTTCCACAGCCTTGGAGATCTATACGAAGCGCGATACCCTCCCCCCCCCCCCCCTCCCAATAGCTTCCTTCGACTATCCGAAAGCTGATTTCACTTTCATTGAACCGCATTTGCAAATCCCCAAAGGTGATGATTTGAAGTCCGCTGTCTTATCAGTTAGTGCTGCATATAAAAGCGGTCAGAAGGAGAGTGCACATTCATTCTATTGTCTCCACTTCGCACATACTGTTATACTCAAGGAGCAATGGGCGACAAGTCGTGCTACATGGGTGCTGGTGGCTACTCGGGCTACATGGGATCAGGAACTCAAGGATCAGGATATGCTAGAGAAGAATACGCAGGAAACATTGGAGGCGGTGGCGGCGGCTATGGCGGTGGTGGCGGCTACAGCAGTGGCGGCGGTGGCGGTTACAGCAGTGGCGGCGGTGGCGGTTACAGCAGTGGCGGCGGTGGCGGCGGTGGCGGCAGCAGTGGTGGTGGAGGCGGCGGAGGCCAACGTAAGGCTAAAGGAGAAGTCCTACAAGCTTCTCCTTTACCCCATTTCATCATAGATTTTCAATAATCGTATTTCAGCGGCTCAAAGTGGATATGCAGGAAATGTTGGCGGATCAGAAAACCAAGCGTCATGCTATTTCGCGCCTAAATAATTGATGTTTCTAGCGCAATAAAAATGATTCAAATAATTCTGATCTCACGATCACGAATGAATCTTTTGTAGCTGGAATCGTTTCGTTTCTCAACAAAGACTAGAATGTCTACAGAGTTGTATTCAAAGCAGGAGGCATAACGCCAGAGGAGGCCCAGCAATTAGCTCTGGCACAACATCACAGATGCTATGTTTGAATCCTTGGCTAAAAGTAACACCCCTCGGAGTATGTATTGCAACAATCTGATCAGCAATGACCTCTGAACCCAGTTCTGCCGGATGTTGTTGCACTGTACTATGTGAGGACAATGCTGTATAGAAGCATTTACTTCAGCTATAGACTCCTGAATGCTTCCTCTGGCGTTGGTAAGCCTGTAGCGTACAATGTGCTGTCTCGAAAGCGGCGTCCAGGTAGAATTGGCAAGCGGGGCATTCACAAGCGTTGTGAGATCCTGATTGATGCGCTATCCAACGGCAGCACAAATAGCTCATCCACTGCGGACGGACTCACCTCCTCATATTGCTTCTCTGCGCAAAAGCATGCAGACCGATGCAAGTCGTCAAATAGCATTGGAGACAAGTTGCAGACCAAAGCCAAGGAATTCGCCTGCGATCTTGTCCCCAGTGCTGTATTCAGTGGGATGGGGGTAAACGAATACCTCCACCAGGCTCCGCCTGTGTGGAACACTGGTCTTTCGGCATGCTATTGCATACCGTGCTAGAACCAGCTACGTGAAGGCGGCGCCTGATAGATTCGTTCCTCTAAAAGCGGCATGGAACGCAAAGGCGGTGGACCGAGTGAAAGCGTACAAACCGATGCACATATACTCTACTATATATGATCCTGGTGGCAGCTCTGGAGAATTCCTGGTTGCGGATGCATCATTTGCACTCGCTTGAATAGTGCCTTGGCCAATATATTTAGCGTGAAGGCCCCATATGCAGTTTGCCTGGAGTTGCCTTCAAGCGCAATAGGTCCACTCACTGGATTCACTGGATTTACAAAGACTTCAAACCGTACCCGAAAACTGATGTGACTGCGGAAAGATAGGCCGCGTCCGGGGGCGGTATATATCAATCTCTCACTCACTGTGTGGGCCATTGTTAACGAGAACCCGCACAAGCGAGAGCGCCCTTCCTGCGATTCATGAAAGTCTGGGAAGCGCGGCCCAAACGGGCAGTGCCGCCCAACTCGTCGAGATGGGCAACTGCTGCCCGACTGCCGTGCCCGACTGCCGTGCCCGACTGCCGTGCCCGCAATGGTCGAATTTGCCAGATCGGACCATATTATGGCCGAACTTGCCAGATCGGACCATATTCTTCAACAGAAAGGAGCCCGGTCACCAGCTTGGCTTCATATATCGCGGGCGCCAGTGCCCGCATCTGTAGGGGCTGTTACTGAAGGGGAACCCCTTCCTATACAGGAGATTGATAATTACCGCCCCAGTTGTCGGATGCGCTCCTGGCGTTCTTCAATCGCATTGCTTAGGGCGCCTTCACACCGCGCCGGCAGCCTCCGCTAGCAGGCCGTAGCAGCCCGTAGCAAGCCACTGGCCGCTTTTATTCATAGGAGCGCTAAATCACAAATTTTTTCTACTTTGAGTGCACCCGCCCACGCTTCCCATCTTTCGCGCTTTTTTCCTTTCTATTGCTGCTAATGTGCGGTTTGACTCTCAACTAGTTGTTCAAGATAAGCACCGATAGCCAAGGAAAAGATTCAAGCAGAACGATACTAAAAAGTGAAGGAATAGCATACCTGCAGAAACTGGACGCATCCAAAGTCAGAAGAAATCATACCGCAAAGAAACTTTGGCAAGCTATAGTTCAGCTGCGAGAGGAAAATTGAGCACCAAGATGACTAATCTACGGCAACAAGATAATAACAAAATGGACACAAGTATCAAGACTTATAATAAAACGCGTGTCTGTTGTTTGTCTGTGTGTATTTATGTCTGTATGTCGCGAGATTCACAGAGCATATTGTAAGAAAGGTTTTGAGCTGAAATTTTGGTCATGGCACCCTATCAGCATATAGGTAAACAATGCAGAAGCACATGCTGATCCGATGATTGGTACCTTCAAAAACTGCGCGTCAAACGGGTCCACGCGATTTTTACGGACTGCTACGGGTTGCTAGCTGCGTCTGCCGGTGCGGTATGAAGGCATTCTTAGTCAAGTCAATGAGTGATAATGACTATGTGTACTTACCTCGCATGAAATATTTGACAACATTGTCGGAGACACATTGGCCCGTAGTAAACCCCCCATCAGGGCATCATTCTCGACGCGGACCGGCGTTGATCTCATCACGCCTCAGTCTAGCATCCGGCGAGCCATTGATCTGGATGCGGATCGCTTCCGAGGCATCACAATCAAGTGCCTTCTTGAAAAGGGAACCACTCGAGCTGGTTTGGTCGAGCAGGTAAGGGACTGAAATTGAACGCGAGCGGCCATGGTTCGACACCGGCTAGCGCCACGTTTTTGCTGTATTGCAGGGCGTCTTTGATAGCGACCACTATCGGAAAATCGATGATGACCGCTATCAAGGATTTCGCCTAGAAAAAACATGGATGACACAAAAACGCATTTTTTGACGAAAATTTTATGGAAAATTGAAATAAATGCAACATAAATCCAACGAAATAAATCTACAAATTCTTGCCTTGAGCAGTTTGTCAAAGAAAAAAGTCAGTAAAATCTACAAAAAAGAAAAAGAGGTTTTTTTCTTTTCCTCGCCAAAATCAGCTGTTCATCGATCCTCTCCTTTTCGGGCGCGGTTGTGCAGTTTCGCGCCGATTTTTTCTGCATTTTTTGGCAAAGCTGTGTGTATCGTAAGTTACTCAGGAGCAACTTATGTTAGATGCAGTCAACTCTTGTCTGCGTCTCCTCTTTTACACGCTATTTGCATTCCTCTAACATCCGTTCACGTTCAGTTCAACTCAACGTGACGGATGTGGAACAGTTGACTGCAGCAGGTGGACAGATGGCCAACTATCAGTTGACTTGACCATCTTATAGCATGGGAAGGTGGACGGTCATCAGTTCACCTCACCTAAGCTTAATTGATGGGATAAGTTGAGTTCACGTCAACTGATCAAGCTTTACTACGGGCCATTGCTGCATGTGTATCTTTTCGAGCTCTCTTTGCGGAATTTGCGTAGCATCAGCCGCAGTCCTGCTTTGTGATGATAGCCAGTTTTCTTCCATAGAGTAAGTCGAGTAAGTCGACCATAACAGTTTTGAGGAATGTGGATCTAATTGCCAGCAGCTTCATTGAATGTAGGTATCTGATCTTCAGTATCCTTTGATCATCGCGCCAAAAAACACGGAGTACCCTGAATCGCAGATTACCTCCTTGGTCTTAAGTTGAATTCCGTTTGCAATGACTTTAGGATGCATCAAGTCTCCTGTCACCCGTCTTGCTTTGCTTGGCAAATGCAGCAGGCCTCCTGGGGCGGTATGCATCAACATCCCGTTTTGAAGGCAATTTCTAATAGAAAATGATCGCCAGGACGGGAACCTCTACCCGAGCGGCTTCGCTCTTTGTTGTAGAAGAGATTCCGTAATGTCTCTTTTACTTGATGAATACATACACACTCTCTAGCTTTGCTGCAGCCTAGCCACCAATATCCCTCTTTTCGACATGCACCTCCTTTCGATGAGGAGACCTTCTATGTGCGACCTCAGAGGGACAATGAAGATCCCAGCTTATCTTGTGTGAAAACATACAATTAGAGGTGCATCATTGCAAGTGCACGACTGGACGAAAAGGTTGCTGAGCATGTTGTCAGAACAATCTCAGCAAAGTGAACCTTTTGAGGTAAGCCAACTCCTTCGATGCGAAGATTCGCAGAGATCTAGCACGTAGTTGCAAACAAGACTATTTAAGGTCATCGATGATAAAGAGGAGGATAGCACGCAATCATCGGGAAGAGATTCACAACCATTGGAAAGCAGGCACCCTTTGGTATCAAAGTTTGCTCTTTGTAGGGATGTCCTAACTTGGTCGCGTTCTAAAAATCAACTTTGTGCAGTTTTGCTTTGGTTAGATGTAGGTAGGGTGACGGCCAACGAAATAGTTAGTGGCAATGTGAAAGAACTTTTGTGATGCAGAGAAGTGGGGTAACTCTGCTGCTTCATTTTATCTGCTATATGTATGGTGCTGTCAATCTTAACATGCAGTACTTCATAACTTCAATTTCAATGTTGGAAGAAGAGATTTTTCACTAAGTTAATCCACGTAAGTGAGCGGAATACTCTTTCTTGGTCATCTGTGGCAACAAAATGCGAATAAATGTAGGTGTTACCATTAGCGTATTGGATTTCTCTTCTACGAAGGATGGAGTTTGTTTTACCAAATTTGTAATATAAAGGAATTTCTTGCTGCCACACTTCGCCCCAAAAGTAGGAATCTCAGCAGCGGAACTTTCGCAGATTCATCGTATGCTCGCAGTAAGTTTTGAAATACAACGCACCTACAGGTGGAGGTAACTGAACCTTGTAGATAGTTGCCGACGTTCTCATATTCGATAGACACTGGGAGGGGGTAAACTGGAAAATCAGTGGTGTAGGTGATACAATGCGAGAATTGCGCCAATACTTTGACGTCTGAGTCCCAAAGAGACTTTTTGATGCGGGAAGCTTCCATGTCCGTCGAATACATTATTCGAAAGTACAAAATACAGGGTGTCCCAAAAAAATGTTAACACTATTTGATCGTTAATAACTCCCTTGCTTTCAAGTCTTTCGCCGAGCTTTAGGTAATATTTTGTAGAGCGAGGATAAACTTAGATTTACAGTATCGAGCGAATCATCTAACTCTCCTCGTTACTGTAGAATTACGGCAGGAAATTTGACGAGGATTTTAGGCCACTAAAGCCCATTTTCTGCTTCGAAACAGAGCCAAACAAGCTGAAATCTCTTTTACTATGGTGATGAAAGCCGCTGATTTCGGATATGAAACTTTCACTTCATTATGATACTTCTTTTCAAAGTTATCCTAATTAAAGTGTAATAACTGACTTCCTAGCATGTGTCAAAAATGTGATTACACCGTCAAAAAAGCTGAAAACACTCGTAAAAAGTTGTGTAGTAAAATCAGCGTGCGCGAAAACCCTAGTACACGATTTTTCAGATTTTTTGAATAAAATTATGTCAGAGGGCTTATTTCACGACGGTTCCACATGCTAGAATTTCCTACCGCAATTCTACAGTAACGAGGAGCGTTGGATGATTCGCTCGATACTGTAAATCTAAGTTTATCCTCGCTCTACAAAATAGTTCCTAAAGCTCGGCGAAAGACTTGAAAGCAAGGGAATTATTAACGATCAAACAGTGTTAACATTTTTTGGGACGCCCTGTATAAGGGATCGACATAGGCCATCGTTTTTTTTAGCTCTTCTGAGAGTCAAGGTATGAAGAATTTCACCTAGCCAAATTAGCAGCTTGCACTGTGTGGCTTTGGGCTCCATTTTCGACATAACGAGGAATTCCCACTTACTTAGATAATTAGATGGCCCGCTTTCAAATAGCGTACAGGCCGAAGCACAAAAGTTGCCAAGGTCCCTGTCCCTCGCTTCAGACATCCATGACCTTTTTTATTGTTGTCGATGGTTGCGTCCACGAGTACCAGGTGCGAAAATCGCAGCTTGATTTCTCAGCCGGCCCATCCGCACCACGAACACATGTGCCCATCTCGTTAAAGGTCTTCCTCAGGGTCGTCTTGCTTTGTGAAGAATACACTCTGATTCTCAGTGTCTATCTGTCGGTCGTGTAATTTTCTCACTTGTGACTGGCCCATCGTTCGCTTTCGCAATGTCCGCAAGGTCACAAAGACGAGACATTCTACTTATACAAGATATAGTTCGTGTCGGGTCATTTTCAGAAGAGTGCACTCAAACGCTCTGTTGGTGGTCCGGCTTTCGACGTGGTTAAAGTTCAGCCCAAGTCTAAGCTGCGTAACAAAGCACCGAGAGAACGTTGAGCCGAACAGATGGGCTCGACGCTCCGGCTCCGTCATTTGGACGATGGCTTTCTGCAAAGGCCCGAAGACGACCCAGGCTCCTCTCCTTCTCCTGTTAAGTTCTTCCCTCAAGTTGTTCTTCATGTTCAGCGAACGTCCTTGGTGCATGTTAAAGGCCGGGCATACTTCACGCGATTTCAGTCGCGACGCGATTTGGCAATATCCTAACTGTCCATAACTCACTATAAGCACATTTCAAATATACAGAAGACTAGCTGACTTACCCGGCTCCGCCGTATGTTCCGAATAGAAAATTCCATTTCTTAACCGATCCGGACCAAACTTGGCACACATACACTTCAAACCCCGGCGGGTGTCACAGTCCACTTTTCGTTACCGATCGATGTCGGTTTTATCGATTTTTTGCAAAATTTGAGCTAGGGGGCTGGAATTTGGCAGAGGGGTGTAATCGAGCATGCTGATCACCCCCACGGGGTTGATCGCGCCCTCCCCCCCCGCCCCCCCCCCTCGGTACGCCACTGCATGATAGATATCCAAGATGCCTTCCAATTCCATTTCTACATCCTCACAAAGGGCGTTCTTGATGGAGTGAGTCTTCTTCCGATTTAATTGCATCCAATCTCAATTCCTACGTGTAATACTTTTAGCATCGTCTTTGCTTCAGTGATACTGCTCGAGAAGAGAACGATGTCGTCCGCGAGGGTTCGACAGGAATCTCTCGTCAACTCGTATGCCTCTCTCGTCCGGTCCAGTAATCACCCCATGCAAGGCTGCAGTGAACAACCTTGGCGAAATAGTGCCACCTTGTCGGACCTCTTTTCCAATTCGGATGGTCAGGGGCGATTGGACAGCTGCATCGTTGTTGTATCTTTGTAACAGTCGGCTGATGTCCTCACGTGAGCTACGTCCACTTCTTGATCGACAGCGCTGACTGGCGTTGTTTCGACGCTGTTAAAGACTTTTTCGTAGTTTGAAAAAGTTAGGACGGCTGAATCCTTTGCGAAATGAAGCTTAGTCTTTGGAAAGCTTGTACAGCACACTCAGCAGGCATATAAACCAATTGCTAAAATTCTCCTGTTACCCTTTTTGAAGAGAAGGACGGTCCTTGAAGTCCATCGTTCCAAAATCCTTTCTTTGGAGGTTGAGGGTCCAGTTGCGATGTGTGAACCTTGCGTAGAGATTGATCTCCGTCTCACAAAAGTTGGACGGAAAGCTAATCTGGTTTTGGAGCCGTGAACGTATTATTCGCCGTACGCATGTCAGCAAGTGGGTGGTACTTTTCCAGAGGAAGAACGGGGAGGAATCGACATGGTGTTGATATGCGAAAGAGATTGGTGTAGAATTAATTCCATCTTCTATAGGGAAGAAATCGGGGCCCGTCTTCGTTTAATAGTGAGCCAGCGGTACGTGATATCCTTAAAGTCATTTCGGCATTTCTTAGACCTGGTTATCTTTCGCCTGTTTTTGCTGTACCACGAGTGATGAGGTCCCCTTACTCATCTGTCGCACGTCCTTTCTGGAACTCATTTCCTGCAGAGCGATGACGTGGTGGATGTGCTCCAAAAGAGTAGAGGTTGGCGCTTGTGGGACTGTCCTAGCGTCGTAGATGCAGAGCACAAGGTGCAATGGGCCAGACGTGTCGCTTTTGTCCGATTCAAGGGCGCGAGGACCCTGACACCGTTCTTGCTACCAGTCGGCGCCGTAAGGATCCAATGTGCAGGGTTTATTTCTACTCTTCTAACTAATGGAGTGACAAGAATTTCCTCTACAGGACTTACTAAACCTACTTTTGCTTTCCACGGGGCGATCGCTCCCCCGGGTGTGGAGCGGGGACCGACTAGCGTTAGAAAAGCCAGACGGATCTGACACGCTCTCAGATAGGCATCCGGCCGAGCCAGAAACGCCGAACTCTTTCACAGCTTGCGAGATCCCGCCAGAGTATACACTCAGCTGTACATTGCAGTTTGACACCAAGTGTCACCCCCAGGCCACGATGAGGAGGCAGACCATTGTGGCGGAAGGAAGAGGAGAACCAAACAAAGTCTCTTGCGGTTATAGTCTTGCTCTTGCATAGAAATTTTCTGATAAAACGCGCGAATATTCATCTGAAATGCCATGTATCTTTTGGTAGAGGACAACTGGAAAGTAGGCGGTCAATCTATCCGCGTTCGTTGAGATCTCTAAAATTATTGGATGAAAAGCTTGTAGCTCCTCAAAAATGGGGTGGAGACATCAACCATTAACCTGACTACGCCCCTGAAGGTTTGCCTCATAGTTCTAGAAAACAAAAAGTTTCTTTTTGGGACGCTGAACACCAAACATCAGGAATTTTTAGGATGAATTCATTGCCACTACATTTGCAACCCTCCCGGCAACATGTGAGTGCCCTCCCAAGATAATACTCGAAAAGGAATGCAGCTGTCGAGGTACGAATACAAATGTTGAATCCGAGGCAGATTGGTTACTTAGATGACCTCGAAAACGAGACCAATACAGTGAAGATCTCTATAGAATCGTTTCGAACTCGTGAATATAAACCCGAACGCATCAAGACTTTACTTACTGTTCTATGCTTTCTAATAGTGATGCTCATCAATCATTTTGTACTGGCTGTTATATCAGACATAATTAGCCGGTGAGTTTTGGTGTTTCGTGTACGTGTGAAGTGGCTCCAAGGGTATAAAGAAGGTAAGCTGTCTCAACGAAAGTTACACTCTCCCATATACAATACCGCTCACATTTTTTAACAAATAGACGCCAATGTACATACATGTTGCTACATGTATGGGCATGTTGCTACATGTTAGCGACATGTCGCATGGGTGATGCCACATGTCGCTACATGTATGAACATCACCGTCGCGTGGCCATATCTCACTTCAGAGTGGACAAATTCTGAATACAAAGCCACCATTTAATTCAGCTTGGCGCGGAAAACCTTCTGATATATTGGAAGTGGGGGTACAATGTCTTCGATATTCCGTTTCCATTTTTTTTTCAAATTCTTCTGCGGAGTTCCTTTCGCGAATATGTGAAGCACCGCCTATCCAACATAGAAAACTTTACTAATTACTATTCGATAATACTATTCTTGTAGATTAATGTGCGCTAAAGATTAGGCTTGGACTTCTTTCGAAAGGATAGAAGCGTTGGTGAATTCTGGGAAAATCAAGCGTTTTTTAATTCTACTCGCCATAACTTCCTTCGGAATAAGTATATTTTAAATCCGAAAACAGAGCCTTGCTCAGCTCATCAAGGCGAATCTTCTTACATACGGCGTGTCCTTGATATTTCGATTTCAGTATTCTTGAATCTTTTTGCGTACGTCTTTTCGCGAAGGTGTAAAGCAGCGAGCATTGTCCCGAGTACATTTCAACAAGGATCCTTCGATAGTACCTTTTCTGTAGATTATGATGTGCTAAATAGTAGCCGCAGATTTCTTTTCAAAGAAAATAGAACGGCTGGTGAATTGTGGAAAGTCGTTTCAAATTCTACTCGCCATAGCCCTAGGATACGAAGCTATCTTGCTAAGCAGATGTGAGTTTCGAAATCAGCAGGTCGGATAACTTCTACGAGCAAGTTTTCCGACATGTTCGGGTTATTTCATTTTTCTCGTTTTACGCTCCTGAAGCTTCCGAGATTTTGGTCAAAATGTTGATGCTCTTGAATTGTAAGTTTACTTAGCTCATAGAGGTTTTCGAACATGCTCTTTACGAAAATCGTGGTTTTGAGGATTACAGGGTCTTTTTTGAGAGGTGCGGTGAGGTGACTGTAACTGCATCACGAAAGTGCGTAACTTTGCCCGCACTTCTCGCGTATCTGTCAGAAAACTTGCTTGCTTTTGTAAGTCAAAGTCACTAGGAACTGTGCTAACGAAAGGTGCATGACTTAGGCTCTGGTAGTGAAATTCGCCGAGTTAAATCGAAATATCAAGGACACGCATATAAGAAGATTCGCCTTGATGAGCTGAGCCAGGCTCTGTTTTCGGATTCAAAATATACTTATTCCGAAGGAAGTTATGGCGAGTAGAATAAAACGCGTGATGGCGAGTAGATTTTAAAAACGCGTGATTTTTCCGGAATTCACCAAAGCTTCTATCTCCTTTGGAAAGAAGTCCGAGCCTACTCTTTAGCGCACAATAATCTACAAGAACATGTTATCGAATAGTACTTAGTAAAGTCTTCTATGTTGGATAGGCGCTGCTTCACATATTTGCGAAAGGATCTCCGCAGAAGAATTTGAAAAAACTGGAAGCGGAATATCGAAGACATCGTAACCCCACTTCCAATATATCAGAAGATTCTCCGCGCCAAGCTGAATCGAATAGTGGCTTTGTATTAGAATTTGTCCACTGTGATGTGAGATATGACCATGCGACGGTGATGTCCATACATGTAGCAACATGTATGTACATTCCCGTCTATTTTTTCAAAAAATGTGAGTGGTATTGTACGCGAATGCCTCGCGCGGCGTTTGCGTACGTTTGGATTGAGAGCTGCAACGGGTCTCATCACTGCCCTAGCCCCACTCAATTGGACTTGACCTCATACCATCGCAAAAAAAACAAAAAAAAACTTTAAATCGTGAAGAGCAATTTCATCACTTAACAAAACTATAAGGCTCCGGGCATAGTTCACGCGATTTCACCGCCTTGCGAATCCCCCAACAACACAAGTGTTACGAGTCCCTGCATGTTAATCATCCGGTATTTGGCTGTGATAGGCATTGGACTACGTTCATACTGATCCCGAAGTTCGGGAACAGTTTTAGCACAGCGCTCAACTCGAGCCTTGTGCTGGAATTGTTTCCAAACTTTCAGATCAGTATAACGCAGCTTTACGATTACAGATATTGGAAGCGGACGAGACGCGGCTCTTTTCCGTCTCCGCCGCAAATGGGCCTCGGCTCAGCTGCAGCTGGTCGTCGGGTCGTCCGTATTCATTTTAGCACAATAAATTGTCTTTTGTCAGTGGCACATAAGAAAATACGCAGTAAAAAACAAAAACTGAAGCCACCGTCTAGCAGCTTCGGAAGCATATGTGCGATAGGGAGAGCCGGGCCCTCTCCAGGTGAAGGGGGTCTCTGCTACTCCCATCCTTGTAAGGTGAAGGGGGTAAGTGAGCCCTGAAAGCAAAATGCCCCAACAAGTTACACACCATTCGAAAGCTGAAGTCATGTATTATAAAATCGACGTAGGCTGTCGACTTTTTTCTAGGTCTTCTGCACTGCGAGACATGAGGGATTTTATGTACATATATCAACTGATTTCGTGTCCTCACTTTCTGCTCTCCAAATGAATGCTACCAGAAAGTCGACGGTCTACGTTTGTTAATGAAGACTTGCTCTATAACATAGATAGATAAACAGCGCTGATTAGGTCTTCGTTTGGCAGAAATTTGCTGTTGAAAATGGACATGATTTCAGATAGAATACAGCGTATCTCTTGGTAGAGGGGGGGGGGCTAGAAAGAAATCGACGGTTTAAGTCGAATCCCCTTTTCTGAGCTTTCGAATGGTATATAGATAGCTGGGCGAAAAAACTTGCCAGTTTTCAAAAATGGGGTGGAGATATGTATTAGCTTGCTCCATCCAGCTCCTCCAAGGTGCTGGTGTGGCGGCTCGTGGGCCCTAAGCACCTGGATCTAACCCGAGTAGCCAAGGCTCGCCCACTTTAGACCTCGACGCAACCTACCCTACCGCTTCACCCTAGCGCGCAAGAAACAATAATAAGTTACTTATAGTCTATCCTAATGACAAATTACAAGAGAACTACAATACTAAGAGTACTATAACTAAACTACTAAATAAAAGAAAAGCCGTAACACGGGACAGGGTCCCTTCCCGTGCTACCGATGGTGCGGGTACATAACATCTGAACATAACATAATGCTCCCGAGGCTTCACCGATACAGATCCGCCACGCGTCGCCGAATAACAGGCGCGGAGCTTCCCGCTACCAAAGTTCACAAGATCTTAAATCCCAAAGCTCCAAAAGTAGCTCGTCCAAAGAGAATCCCAAATCGGACTTTGACAAATATAACTTTTTATCCGCTCGACCGCTAACACAAAAGAGACATCAAAGGCGGGAGCTAACTGCCAGGCACGAGCATAACAGAAAACATAAAAAAAGATTATTGACTGAAAACGAAACAGACAGGCGCTGAAATGAGGCGCCGCCGCTGTATATAGCCTTGTGGCTGGCAACGCGCCAAGACGAGGAGAGGTCCAGAAGCGATTGCGGCAGGCGTGAGGAAGTACCGCTATCGTCGCCGGATAGCGCGGCAGCAACCAGTGCTCCCGGCCTCCTACTTCTAGTAGCACTCGCATCGCGAAGCCGCGACAATTGGCTTCTATGGGTCACCGGAGCAAGCATTTTTTGAAGCTGGGAAGCTCGATGCGTTAACAAGCTATATACCATTGAAAGCTGAGATTATGGAGAATCGACCTAGGCAGGCGATTTTTTTCTATCTCTTCTTAGCAGTAGGACACGAGGGATTCATCTAAGCGATATATCTACTGATTCGCTTTAGCTGACAAAAAATGCATTCAAATTTTTTTTCTTGCTTCTCTTACAAGCAAAGGCGTCTATCTGTTTATCTATCTTAAATCTGTGACAAGCCTTAGAAAACCTTGAGGCTTGAAAATAAATATGCTCAAAATTTTTTTCCAAAAAACTTGGAAGAAAGAAGCAGCAAACAAGCATCAACCATTCAGGTTCTTGAAAAAAATTCAAATGTTTTTTGATTTTTATGTTCGTCTTTTGGAGTGTTTATATTTCCAATTTATTCTTTCTCAAATTTCTCAAGTTCAATTTTTTATGCTACAGTATCTCTATTGTAGACGCCATGATAGTGCGAAAAAAGCAACTACTGTAATTTCTCATTGTAACTGATAGAAATTCTTCTTTTTATGAAGTATGTGGTTGTTGTGTTTCACGACTGAAGTGGATCTCTAATAGTTATTTGATCATGATACTCTCAGATTACCTTCCCAAATCAGCCTCAGGTGAAGGGGTCAGGGGGGGGGGGGGGGGGGGTAAGATCCTTTGCTCTCCCTATCGCAACTCTGTCCGGAAGCCAAGTCCGACTTCAGAATTGGATAACGCCAGACGCTATCCACCGTTGTTTACAAGACAACATATTGATCTTATTCCTGAATGGGAGACTGGAAACACATCCAAGGCTATGAACATTGAGGGAGCCTGACCATGCGTCGTACATCACGCAAGTATCTTTTACGCCAAGACACTAGGAGCGGCCGAGCCGCGGCTTTCATTTGGCATAGAGTTTCTTACAGGATTTTGATCCGCGGCTTAGCCGCTGCATTGCTCCTCTCCATGACTAAGGGCCGTGCTGAGCCGGTGGGCCCATTTCCCGCCCTCGGCTCGGCCGGTGCAATGACAAGACCATGAACGAAGGGCCGCGCGTCAGCCGCACCCGGGCCGCCCCCCCAAATTGAGGCCGCAGGCAGGCCGGAAAGGCCTTTTAGGGCGATCACAACCGAAATGCAGGAGGATCCGCTTATGGACTCGTAACTGTTGTCTTGTTGGGAGAATCGCGAGCCGAGGCCAAGGCGTAAGGGAATTTGACTCCTTGTAGATGTTGAATTCACTTTGCAGCACAACAAGGAGTTGCAA